GGTCTGTTGATTTTGGGAAAAAAGGACAAAAGATACTAGAGGAACATTAGAACTCATAAGTCATTGTAAGTCAAAGATAAACTGATGAATCTTGATAAAAAGTAAAGGACCTAAAGGCATACAAAACACAACATAGAAAACTATACACTATGAACCCACATGAACTCCACCAAAAAATTGCGGTGATCTCCGGTGCCCTTGAAGGATAAGCAGATCCTGCTCCACATGTTTATAGCTTTGTTAAAATCTTAAGTTTGTGGGGAAGTCAATAATATTGTTTGCAGTTGTATTAGCCCAGCACATTCAGTTTTTCATTGAAGATATTTTGGCCTTGTCCACACATTCCTGGTCTGTTTACTTGTCAACATTTGCTGAATTTATGTGTTTAAGTTCATGATAATGTCTGGTTTTAGAAGGAACCACTTACTATAAATAAAAATGGTAAATGATATTTGGATCTTTGAATATTAGTTTGATGAATAGTATGTTTAAATTTCAATATTTGTATGTTACTATAAAAAGAATAGGCGAGACATTTCTCTATACGTCAACAGCTTATGTACTGTTAATTGGTAGTCTATACAAGTCACTTCAGTCAAATCCAACATGCAAGGTACATGGTTTTAAATTAGATAAAATGGATGAATAAAGATGGAGAAATAGTTTATTTAAATAAGGACAAGTGGTATGATAGTGATTATGACTTTAGACCAATGTTTAAATGATGTGGATGTACAATGTAAGCACCTTCAATTATGAGTGAAACCCATACTGACAGTTCGGCATACAAAAAATAAAACATCAATTTATTTACCAATTCAAACAATCTCCTGTGTCCTTACTTGGAACAGACACATAAAAAGTATGGCAAGTTAAATGTTTTAAATCCTCAACACCTGGAGAGTCGTGATTTGCTGAACTTTACAGATTGCCTGATTGGTACCAAGCACAAAAACAAGTTACAAAACCAGAGTCATTACGCATAATATAGATATAAGAAGATGTGGTATGATTGCCAATGAGACAACTCTCAATTCAAGTCATAATTTGTAAAAGTAAACCATTATATGTCAAAGACTTAACTGATTTTAATAACCAAAGTTTGAACATTGACACATTTTCAGGTTATAATATTTTGTAAGTCCATTTAAGTTTTCTTTTGAGGTGAATGTGCTTACTAATTTTATCCTTCTGAATACAGGGTATTCCTAATATAGTGTAGATTAGCATTTATTTTTTTCTTTGCTGAAGCCATATAACATAGAGTTCTTGTGTATTCCTCTTACTTGTAGATTTAATATTATAGTACTTGTTTATTTTGTTGCCAGTAAACCACTAAACATAGTATTGCTTATGCTATTTTCCTATTACTCTTTTAACAGAATAGTTGCTTATTCAATTTGCATGTAAATTATATAACAAAGTATTTGCTTATTCCTGTTGCATACTAATTGTTATACGCCCGTTTACGGGACGTATTATGGTATACCTCTGTCCGTCCGTCCGTCTGTCCGTCCGTCGTCAACATGTCAGACATTAACTCAAAAATGCTTTAACCAATTTGCATAAAATTTTGGTGAATTGTTTATATCTATTGACGTGAGCTCCCTTTCGTTTTTTATAAATTTAAGATTTTACGTTTCCGAGTTATGGGGTTTTATTCATTAAAAAAAGGGGGATTTTCCAGTTTTCTGACAATAACTCAAGAATGCTTTCACCAACTTGCAAGAAATTGTGGTGAATTGTTTATATCTATTGACATGAGCTCCCTTTCAATTTTTATATATTTTAGATTTTACGTTTTCGAATTACAGGGTTTTATTCATAAAAAAAGGGGGATTTTCCAGTTTTCGGATAAAAAATCAAAACTGCTTTCAGCAGTTCTATGAAACTTTGGTGAATTGTTTATATCTATTGATGTAAGCTCCATTTAGAATTTTATAAATTTTTCATTTATCATTTCTGAATTATGGGGTTTTATTCATGAAAAAAGGTGGGATTTTCCAGTTTTCGGACAATAACTCAAAAATGCTGTCAGCAATTCTCATGAAACTTTGGTGAATTGTTTAAATCTATTGATGTAAGCTCCCTTTACATTTTCATAAATTTCTAATTTGACATTGAGAAATAATTGAACTTTATTTGTTTATAGTCTGACAACAGATTTACTAAGTATTGCGCAACAGCACAGTGTATTGCACAACAGCAAGAAATCTTTAATTGAATATAAATTAAATTCATATAACTAATTTCAATTTCTTTGACTACATTCATTCAGAAACCTATAATATGTCAAATATTTAATAACAATCCAAATTCAGACCTGTATCAAGCTTGAATATTGTGTCCATTTTTGCCCCAACTGTTCATGGTTGGACCTCTGCGGGCGTATCCAGCTGCGCTCAGCGAAGCAGTTTATTTAACAGAGTTCTTGTCTATTAACATAGAGAATTACTTTTGCATGTAATTGTATTAGAAAATGAATATCACATAATTTAAGTGAAGTCATTGGTAAGTGACTATGAGTTATCATAATACCCCCTGTTGTGACAGGATATATTTATTCTGGTTAATGACTGGCTGTATATTTAGTTGCACATCAAATACATGTACATGTACAGGTTGCTCCCTTTTTATTTTTTCATCTTTTTTTCTTATTAATTTATTCAAACATATTTCATTTCATGTATACTGCGAGGATGCTGGAGAGGTGTAAGGAAAACAGATATTTATGAGTTTATTTTTTTACTTATTTCTTAGTTCGGTTAACTTTTAGTTATTTCATGATTTACTGCTTTGCTTTGTTTCTGTTTTTTTATTTCCCTGTAAGAACAGTATTGAATATCAACATAATTTGGTTTAAATTTAAAATTGCCGTACAGTTCATTTATATGTGTACCTTTTATTAAATTATAATGCAAAAACATTTAATATATATTTCCAAAAAAGCATAAACATATAGTATAAACTTTTAACAGATCCCTTTTTCTATATTCATAATTCAATTAAAAATTAAAAGAAATCTGCTTTTGCTAAAACTTTGTAGAACTTTTTAATTTTAATTTAAGAAAAAATATCACAAACTTCTTTTGGCATTTATGTGAATTGTATAATACCATATTGCATTTCAGATTTTTTTTTAGTTTTATTTTTACTTTGTTCTTCATGTTTTAAATCCATTTCTGGCTTTTGGATGTTTGAATGTCTCTTGATTTAAAGCCAGCAGTAGAACTTGTACATCTGATATAATTTCTAATCTAAAAAGATGATATAATTAAAATGTTAATATTCTGTTCACATCAAATAATGTTTTATTGCTTAGATATCAATATTCACAATTTTCAAGGAAATATTGTCTACATTTTCAATTTGTACATAGATTGGATAAAATTGTAAAAAAAGTTCTTTGCTAAATGTAACACGAGTTCTGCTGATGAATCAACAACCGAATTGGATATAAATCCTTTCTATTGTTGGATCGCTAGAGGGCGCTGCAAGGGTACTGCAGTGTATCCACCAATAAAACCGGTGGGCGTGTTTATTTCTATCTTTTTTTTTTTATTTTATTTTAAGTGAAATACATACTCTGACCCTGATTAGTTTTTTGTATATCAAATTTTTGGTTTGAAATCATTTATTCATTGTTGGCCAAAATTCAACAATTATTAATTTTAAGGTTCTAGTTTCATCTGAATTTTTCTATTTAAATTTTTACCTTAGAAAAAAGGCTATCATGTCATAAAATGTAACCTTTTCTTCGCAGGTCATTTAAAAAACCCTGATAGTTTGCTATTTACATACTGTCTAGAAATAATTTTATGAGCAGCATTCAACCACAGAATCTCTAGCATATTTGTTAATTCTCCCCTTTTGACAATTAAATTTAATGAATATATTATTTGCTAGCCTTTGCATGTTTGAAAATTTTGTTGTCTGGAGTTTAGGGAAGTTCCTCACAAAGTAATTTCTCTCTTATAAGATTTATAAATTTGGAAGTTTTTATAACCCTGGAAGTACATGAACAAATGCAATATTCAATCATTTCATATCTATTTTTGTGTAATCAAAATTTAAATGAATATTAATTATTGACTAACGATTTAAGGAAACAACGAAATATTTTAAACTGTAATCATGCATTACTCAGATTACTGTTCAGTTTTGCTGAATACAACTTGCACTTCCTTCGTTGCGTGGACCTAGTTATCTCCCTTTGATCTCCGCTTCGCCACGAATAAGCTGACACAATTGCGTATCCGGGGAATTTATGATCTATAATTAATATATAAGATCCAGAAAATGGTTTTACTTCATATTTTATACCCCTCCATACGTTACCAAACCCATTTAAGAAATGATTTGGGATTTTCCGTAGACCTACGCAAATTTTACAAAAAAAATTTCAACTTCCATCGTTATTTTAGAATACTTTTATAACACCTTTCATAAATAAGTATACATAATAATGACGCTTATTCACTCAAGATTTGGACCCTACAAGTTTTATTTATGTACGAGTTACAATTAGACGATACGAGGTAAAAAACCAAGAGGTGTACACGTTCACAAGAAAACGGTAAACTCTGACCTTTTATCACGTGACCAATGTCTTGAACTTAGACGCCATTCAATCGTTTGCCGTTCAACTGCTTTATGTATTTTTTGCACATTAATCTCTATTCTTTATATTTTAGCACCCCATTATTCTCTATTCTTTATATTTTAGCACCCCATTATTCTCTATTCTTTATATTTTAGGTCCATTGTTCTCTTTCTTTATGTTTTTCGCCAAATATTTCTATTCTTTAAACCCCTATCCAAACCCTCGTGTATTGTGATTTTAAAACAATTGATATTTTTCATAACTTTAAAAGTCAACTTTTTATATGTGACGTATAACAATTTAATCTATATATCTGAATTCAAAACAAATATTGTACTGATAACTAGTTAATATACATAAATGTATCTTATTTTGTTACATCATAAACATCACCAACCAGTTTTTACTTCAGGAGCCATCTCAACACAAACATCATTGGCCGTCTCAAAACGTTGTCTGATCGTCTTTGTTCCGACGCAGCAGTCGAGCTCAAATGGATGATGAATACATTCTTTCGAGACGTAATGGTACTTCATGCTGATTTCAACTTTGTAAAACACATCACTTCGAACGGAACTTATGTTCAACAAGTTCGTAATATTTTGATTCTATGAAATAAATAAGGAGAATTATTATTTTCCAAAACAGTTAGTGATTTTCTTTGTATTGAATATATACGTTATCATTTAAAATATGAAACCAGTGCACATTGAGACAAATATTTACAGGCCGTACTACATTGTTTCACTTAAAATAAGATAGGAACATGACACACATACATGTTAAAAAGTTTGACACCTTATTAAACAGTTTTGTGGATACAAGATGTAATTTAAGTTTTGATCATTAATATATAACACTAATAGGAAAAGGGCGCCTATACAAGAAGACATGGCAATCCGGTAATAACACGAACAACTCTGGCTATGAGGGGAACTCCAACAAAGTCAAAATTATTTTGTTTCTTCGGAAACTGAGATATCGTAACAATCAAAGTTGTGAAGGAGACAACTTTACATGTGTAGTGATAATTTGAGTCCCCATTTTACATTACCAATAGTTGAGGGTTTCGATTGGAAAGGGGTACAAGTCATCATTTCTGTATTTTTAATTTTTTAGGCCCTTTTCTCTATTCTTTATTTTTAGACCATTATTCTATATTGAATTTCTTAATATTTGAACAACCCATTATTCTCTATTCTTGTTAGCACCCCATTGTTCTCTATTCTCTATATGTTAGAATTCCATTATTCTTTTTTGATCCGAGCGTCACTGATGAGTTATATAGACGAAACGCAAGACTGGCGTACACAACTATAATCCTTCTATCTATGATGAGTTTTTTCATTATTTTTTTTTATGCCGATCTTTCTCTATTTTTCATTGTTTGGTCCCTTATTTTCTATTATATAAACACCACCAAGCACCATAGTCAACAAGTTACGAGTATGTTTTACTAATAGTGCAATAATGGGGAAAGGGTAAATTGCATAATGACTAAACAACATACCCCATATAACGCTTTGCAAGTAGGAACTGGAAACACTTTTTCAAATTTCATTGAAAGTAACAAATGATCATCTTCTTGGTTGAAAGATGTTTTGCCTTTGTCAGGATGGTCTAAAAAATATATAATTTACAAGGTCATGAACATGCACAAAATACTTATTAAAATCAATAATTAAAAAAAGGTTACGTAGTATGATCACCAATGAGACAACGACCCATTTATGACCAAGGACAAAGATGTGAACAATTAAAGACCAGCGGCGGATTCTCAGGGGGAGGGACGGAAGAAAGTTAGATATACTAATTAACCGAATAACCAAATCTATACTTACAATGAGTGACACGACGAGTAAATTAGATTACCCCAATGTTGTGTGGGCTCGGGTTGCTCAGTCTTTTCCTTTCTAAGTAGTATTTTGGGAACTTGTTTATGATTTCGTCGTCTTTCGATTTTGTATAAGCATTGTCAGTTTCACCCGACTTAAGAGTTTTGAATGTCCCCTTGTTATATTCCGTATCTTTTTTAAGGAGAACTTACGGACTTGCTTTTCGGAATTCTTCTAGTCATTATTAAAATGATTATATTCATTTAACGCTATTATCATACAATAGGACAAAAATTATTTAAAGTCCCAAAACTCCAGAAAATTAAGAGATGCGCCATGAGCATATGATACGCCCGTAGCCCTTTTAGCTCGTCTTTATGCTTTAAATGAATTTATATGATCAACTAGAAATGTTGTGAACACTGCTCAAATAGACCCCCCCCCCCCTCAAAAAAAGAAAGAAAGAAGAGACCTGCACACACAGTGATATACATATTGGCACAACACATGAATAGTTTGGCACGTTTAACTCTACATCAAGTTTAACTAAGTTTGTGGCCTCGATTTATGAATGAATAAAATTCTATAACCGTCCAAAGTGTTACAAATGGACAGTTTTCATCGATTTTTCAACGAATAAAGTTCCATAACTCCGCAATGTCATATATAAAAAGAAAAAAAAAAAAAAGGAGCTTACAATACACCAAAGTTTCATGAATTGCTCAAAGCATTTTTGACTTATAGTCGGAGAACTGGAAAATCCCATATTTTTTATGAATAAAATCCCATAACTCGGAAATGTAAAACCTGAAATTTATAAAAATTGAAAGGGAGCTTACGTCAATAGATATAAACAATTCACCAAATTTTCCTGAAAATTGGTGAAAGCGTTTTTGAGTTATTGTCCGAAGTGCTGACGACAGACAGACAGACGGACGGACAATGGAAAACCATAACACGTCCCTTAAACGGGCGTATAAAAATGGTTAAATCGACATGACAGTATAAGCACGATCAACCAATCACGATTAGAAACAATCTTTGCAAACGGTTTTTGTTATCAAAGTGTAACCCTTTATCACGATATAGGGGTTAGGCAATACCTATATAAAGGTAAAAGCATAAAGTTTTAAATTAAATAAAAAAATGTAAATGAAGGCCTAGGGTTATTGATCAAATGAAACAAAAAACATGCAACATATAAGTCGGAAATACTTGCATTCGAAATTCTCCACAGTCATATTCAGAACATTCTTGTAGGTTTGGAAGCCATGTTGGCAAGTGTATGGCACGTTCACGTCACCAGTATCTAACGACGTTATAGTTAAAATGGAAGTACGTTTAGACTTGTCTAGTTCCTCTGAATATTTTGTATCGTTTACTGTCTCGCCGTTTACCACCAATACTTTGACGTTTTTTCCTTTACTCCAATGTCTGGAGTTGTCGAGTGATGTATCATTGTCAAGATTACAATGTAATTCTATATCTTTTCCAAACACTGCTGGTTTTGTGGCCAGGCTCCACGATACCGATCCTGTAAGAATATCATGATATAATAAACAACTCAAGAAAATGATTTTAAAAGAGAACGCGCAATCTGTTAAAACATATTTTAATGTACAAAAATTAAAATGACTTCTGTAAGATATGTCTCGTTAATGGTTGCATCAAGTTATAAATATTTGCTTTTTTGTTTTGTTTTTTAGGGTACTTTGTGTTATTGGTAGATCTTTGATTGTCCATACTTGCTTAACTCTATAAATGCCTTTTCCTTGTAAATGTGTCGTTGAGATCCTATTAGTCCAGCTGATTCGTGCATATTTTTAGAAGAATTGTGGGTTTGATGATAAAAGCACGAAACTTTGCCCAATAGTAGATATATATTTGATAATCAATCTAAGCTATGGACCCAATCTGAAAAATCCAATATGGCGGCCATTTTTAAGATGTCTGCCAATCAGTCTAAATTTCACAAAAATGTCTTATTAAAAGCAAATAATATTCAAACCAAATCTTTTAAAAACATATAAAATGTAATCCAACTTTTCTAGTAAGTCATGACGTTATATTAGACGTTTGTTTTTTTCAAAATGGCGGAAAATTTCAAAATGGTCCCAAAAAGTGAAAATGAACACAACTAAGACAAGACTTTGCTTATATTCTATCGAATTGCTTTTTGAAGTTCATACAATATTCTAGGGATTGTATTTCCATGATACATGGATGCTGCTTGCAAGATAATTTAATCAAAGATCCTATAAATGGAAACATTCGAAAGTTTTTAGGACGCCATCAGGATTTGTTTGGCCATTAGGTACCATCTGAGTCACAATTGATGATTTATGTGTTTTACTTCTCTTTGCCACAAGTCTTCTTTTTCCTCGATTGTGGTAACATCAAGATAATCAATAAAAGCGACTTATGACAAAATTTTTACAAACGCTAATCATGGTAGCATCACGAGTGCTTCAAGTTGGCCAGAAACTACACACTCTTCTGTAACAACTACGAATACCCCTAGTTTTAATGAAAAGGGACTTGTGTTGTTAATGCTTCCAATGTGGTGTGATTTGCTCTTTATTTTTCAATTATTGGTCTGTGTTGTCAAACAGTGAAAGTCTTGTTTATCCATCGTACACGCACGGGAAACCTTGTTTCATTTCAAACGTTCACATTCGGTCAAGTTTTGTATAATTACATGTACCAATGGTTTTTACATGTTTTAAATTTTGTGATTCTAAAGTTTAGAAGGGAGACATTTATAAATCCACTATCATATGATATATGCCTAATTACTGGATATGACTCATTAATCTATTTAAACAAGAGCACATAGGCAGGTGTCACTTGTTGAAGAGGAACTGTTGACACTTTTTGAGCACCTGAAATCATCCCCGGCTTTTAGTTGGGTTGGTGTTGCTCAATATTTAGATTTTTGTGTAGTGATTTCTTGACTGCTGTTAGACCTTTTTGCGTTTTTTATCCATTTTCAACATATTTCAGCCCATTTAGTGTTTACATAACACAATTGTCCTCGCGCAACTTCATCTACCATGACATTCGTTTTATATCGGTCAACTACATTGTATTAGCTCATTACAAAATGCTGATACCTTTGTGATAAATGTCCATATGGCATATGCCATCCACTGTCACTCGAAGTAGCACTTTGGGTAAAAGGGCGAAACATTCCCCGCCTTAAGAATGTTAAGCTTTCACATGCTTTGAGAATGTTGTGTGTTTGCTTTTAAAACGTTCCTGGTGTAGAACATCATGTGGTTTACCTGATCACGTTAAATTATTTTGAAGGTGGATTAAAACTTGTTAATTACTATGGCCATTTCTAGACAAAACACCATCAAATGCTGTAGTTCCGATATGTATTGTCAATCTGATTACTATACCTTCTCTTTTACAAGTGTGTAATTCTACGCATGGGCTTAATCTTCATTTCTATTTTCAAATTACGTTTGCAACACCTAAACTGTACAGCTTAATGACATAATATAGCGCACGGGTCCTGGAAGCCATAATTTGGAAGGAAAAATGCAACGAATCAATGAATAAGCAGTATAAAGAAATCTTTATGCACCCAGATGGAGCATTCTCTTAATGATCTCACAACAACATGTCCAGTATAGTCCTCAATGTTACAGACCAGTTGTGGTTAAGTGAACTCTCAATTTCTCTGTTATTAATCCATTCTTTGAATGTTACACAGTTCTCATCAGGGTCTCAATCGTCAGTAAAAATTATGCCAGGATCTTTGCATAAGAATGTAAAGTACACCTACTGAAACCGCATGGAAATGTCTTGATCATGATGCATGAAAGCCTCTAAGACAGAATCTGCTGTTCATGAAGTACTATGTTTCCTTGATTGAAAACCTTTTCAACCACTGTTTTCTAACCAATCACATAAGATTCTCAACGAAAAAATTACTTTATGAAGACCTAAAACAAAAACATTCTTTGTTCTGCTAGAAATATGTTTGCCGCTGTTTCACAAGTGATAATTGATACATGTCTCGGAAAAAAAACCACATTGTTGAATTGTATTCATCGAATGTCGAATCGTTGTGATAGATTTTATCTCTTCCTGAAACATTGGTTAATGCGGACTGATATATAAAGGCGGATGACCATTTGTTTTGGCTCTACATTCGTGGACTGATGTCTAGACATATTTAATGTTTGCATTATCATCTGCTTCAAGCCATCTGTGTTATCTTTTTGTTAACTTATTTATACCATGTAAGGATAGAGTTGTACAACTGACTAATTGTACCAGGTTGGCATACATGTATTTTTGGTTAGACAATTGACAGAGTGCATGTCCATAAAACGGTAATTAACAGATGGCAGTATGAAACACATGGTTATATTTTGTTAGTATTAAGGATTTACATTGTATCTTATTCAATAGTAATATTTATATATTATATACTAAGTTAGAGCAATAATACGAACAGTTGTGCTGGCGCATAATATAAAGGTGAAAGTACCAGAGATTATAAAGGAAATGCATATATTTCAAAGCGTAAGGATATGACGAACTTGCTAAGTTAGACTTAGAAGATGCTGAATGTAACGATTGTTGTCAATATTGTCCACGGCTGCTGTTGTAAAACCACCAGGATTCGAGGGAGGAACCACATATCCAATGTTGAATGTTTCAAAGATGGAATCTTCTAGTACTGTAGATACATGGATTATTGGATCATTCATAAACGACAAACGTAAACATGTTGGTCATTTAGTACCTCCTTTTCTGGCTCTAGCATTCATAAGAAGGCATATATACATTATGAGATGGGTTTAGTTCAGTTGAATATGATATTAAAGAAGAATAGTGAAAAAACAAACAGAAGTAACTTTGAAATGGATAGCGTCGTATTAGCCTCTATAGACTAATTCGACTGCATCAGAATATTTGGCCGAACGATTTGGATAGCGTCGTATTTGCCTCAATAAAATAACTCGACTACATCTGAATATTTGGCCAAACGATTAATAACTAATTATTTAATGACTGTGGAAAAAACTTTTGCCTACATCATGTCTTTTTGAACTACCAGCATGTGCAGCTTTTTTTCAAATACCATTGTCATACAAACAGATTGTTGCGATTGCTTATTTAAATGAAACACCAAAATAATCATTAAACAGGATAAGCAAGGACATGCCTTGTTAATGTCCTGGCAAGTCTGAGATAACAGCATTTTTTTTTCTTCAGATCATTACTATGTCCTCTTCCAATTGATCATAAAGAAAACTTCGAATCGAGAAGTATACATTCTAGTTAAGTCTAGCTTAAATATTGGATTAACGCCAGTATCAATACTTGATCCCTCGTTGTTGACTACTGTTCTGCAAGAATGGTACCGTAGTAACGATTTTCTATACCTTCCTCACGAATGTTTATATGGATGTCTTTAGTATATAAATGTTGCTTGCACTTGGTAGTATAGGGCACTTAGTTTTACTGCAGGTACGTCAAAAAAAAAACCAACACTTTGTAACCTTCTATAAGGGATATTTGTTGATTTTGATATCCAATGGCGGCCATCTTAGAAAAAACCGCCATATTGGATTTCAATTTTGGTCCATATTTTATATTGTTTGAAGCACCTAGCACTAATAAATGACAAATTTGAACTAATATAAGGGATATTTGTTGATTTTGATATTTTGTGGCGGCCATTTTGGAAAAAGCCGCCATATTAAAATTTTAAGGTGGTTCACAGCTAATATTTTTTGAAACACCCAGCACTACTGCCATGCCAAATTTGAACTTAAATGTGACCTTATATAAGTGATAAATGTTGATTTTGATATTTTATGGCGGCCATCTTTGAAATAGCCGCCATATTGAAATTTCAAGTTGGGTCCATAGTTAATATTGCTTGAAACTCCCAAAACTACTACCATGCCAAATTTAGTGCTTTTATCATCAAAAAAACAAAAACAAAACAAACTGTCTTTCAATGTCAACCTCTTGTAGTAATAACTTTGCATGTTGAACCTCAATTCAAAGGTCGGGTTTTTGTTTTCTAAAGGGTAACCGTTCAAAACAGGTTTGACAGTATATAAATATTTTTTTCGCAAAATATAAACATAGAGAGAATGAATGGCAACAAAAAATGTCCATACTCACCGTTGGTTAAATCTATAACCACCAGTACCAATAGAGATAACTGTATATATAGAAAATGGTTATGAATTACTCATCAAATAATATTCCATGATAACATATGTACGAAATCGTCCTAAATTCCAACATAGTTTATACAACTATAATTTAAAGGCAATTAACTGAGTTATAGATCAAGAAATTACCTAATTATAATTTTTCATCTTCCTTTGTTGATTGTTAATTATTTTGATATAGAAATGCTTTACTCAAAAAGTCCCGGTAACAGACTAAGGACCTATGCTTACAAATAGCGACCATCTATCTAACTCTAATAGACAGAGGTAAATAGATGTCAAATCTTTGAATTACAAGTGAGCGACAAAAAATTTAAGGACGTTCGCTACTCTGTTTCAAAATAACAAGCTTTTTAAAAGACTGTTATGAATTTGTAGTAAATATATAACGGAACTTAAAAAACAGATTTTTTTTATAGCACCACATCGAAAAAACATAGGATTCCAAATTTCGGTCAAAAAGTAAAAAAAAAAAAAAAAAACACCAAGAGAACATCCTTAAACGACTTACCACTTGACAAGTTGTTAACCACTTTTGATTAGCATTTTTAAGAAGCATCAATGCCATTCTTCTCTTTTATTTCCTTCTTTGTTTTGATTTCTTTCTTGGGACCTTCAAATACGATAACATGTCTAATGTATAATTATTCCAAATATTTTTCCATTTACAAATGGCGTATTTTATTGGTTAATATTTCTCACATCGAAAAGAGAATTAATGAAATAAAGCTTACTTATGAAAAGAAACTCAATATTGTTGCGATGCTGAAAAATTACTTTATACAGTTATTAATTATTAATTGAGTATTTGAATATTTTATGAGAGATATAAAATTTTACTCACATAACTTGAAAAAAGGAAGTAATTTCTATATATAAATAAAACGTGACTGGTTTTAACTGTAAATTTATCGATAACTATATATTTGAAAACATTTAAACTATTATTCAAATAAGGTAACAGTTATTGTTAACTTTTGCACCAAATTTTTGTTACGCACTAATGAACAAGAAATGATTATCGTGAGAATATGATTGATATAAATGTCGTATATCTAAAGACAATGTAATACAAGTTTGAGCTTTCTAAAAAGCTGTGGACTGCTTCGCTCTATCCTAATTGTAGGTAATATGTGTGCATGTGGTTGTTGATTTAGTATTGGAAATGTGGTATTTTTAGATATTGATTGATATAAAATGGATTTACTTTAAGAGTGTGCGTTATACACCCATGCTTTTAAAATTTTGTTCACTTTACTTATTGAAAATTAAAACATTTACAAATAGACACGACTCTGGAGGTGTGCCTCTCTGGAGGTGTGCCTAGATTGGCAGATGTTATAAAATACAGATAATGCATTTTTTTAAACATTGTATAGGAACATTGTTTAGGAAAAAAAATCGTGCATATTGCATAATAAAACGAACATGAATTAATGACAGTTGATCGGAACTGAAATACACATAGTTAATTTTCCGACATTTGATGTCTTATCCTGAGACGAGAAAAGTCTGTATTCTTTATCTCATTTAAGCCAACAGCTGTTGCTGTATCTCAGCTGCATCAAAAAGGAACCAATCAGAATATATATATATATGTGATAAGTAATTATTTCAAGATGGCGTGTATGTCGACTGAAACTAATAGCTCCGCACCGTGATGCGAAGCAACAATGCGATTAATTAATAATCAAAAATCAAACATTATATTCATTGTTTAGCAGTAATCATATACACATTTCATCTCAACATTATTATATTTACCATTCATATAAATAAACGAAAATAAATTAAAGTAATGTAAAATCGCTTAGAAGGCACTGAAATTGTTTCAATTTGGCAATGGTCGAAAGAAAAATGAAATATAATTATTTTCGTTGATTAATTAAGAAATATATGCATACAATATAAAAAAATCTTAAATCCTGTATTCATATATTTTTTGCAAGACAAAGGTAAACTGTTTAACAAAGTAAAGTAAAATTATAACCTCAAACCATGCTCATTTGCTTACTTACTCAAAACTTTGAATGAAAATAATTAATTTATAAATTTCGAATTCATCGATCACTGGTTAGCAATAGCAGATGGTAGGTACAGGGAAATTTCCAGAATTTAAGACTCTTTTTTTTAAAAATATATAATTAATGAACAATGAGGAATTTTTTTTCCTGAAAATATTTCTCTTTAATATCTTCCCGCTCTTTAATAACTTTGATTATGTACATAAATTTAAACAATTTTTTTTTATCTGTGACAAAACAGGGCTCTAGCAAATTAGGCTCTTCTATAAAAAGTCACGTAGACCAAAGGCATTGAATCCTTGAAAATACATTTGAATACATATGATTTAACTGTATATTTATATGTATGTTTCATTTATTTTTCAAGTTCAGACAAGTCTTCGTTACTTGAGACATATAGTTTGTTAAAGTTCAACTGTAATCGCCCTGAAAATATTTTCTCGAACAAATTTTTTTATATGATAAACTTTTAGATAAAACTAAAAACCTATGTAATAACAATATTCCGGTTACATAAAAAGAATAAAACATCAGAAGAAACCCACACCGAGTCTTCCAAATTAAAAACAGACAGAAGATATAAAAGTAAATAAAAGCTATTTACTATTTGATATTGGTGCCATGATGGTATTTCATAATTAATGAAATTACCTCAGAAATGATATTATGCATTATCAAAAAAGGAAATAATTATACCTAATAATATCGAACACTTAATATTGCAATTTAATAACGTATTTAACACATTTCCAATATCCTCTTGAAATTATAAAATGATTATAAATGCTATATTTGTTTTAATAGAAACAGATCATAAATAATCATGAAACTAATAACATGGGATTCCTTGATATTAATTGTACCATGGTTAGAACATACCGGTAAGTCTTACTGGTAGTTAAGAATTTTGTTATACGAATCATGTATTCTTGTAAAATATATTTATATATCGCGGTCACGAGGAGGTAAGGATAGGATTAAAAAACAGAAAAGTTAACTGACATGAAATTTGTTTTTATGCCCCACCTAGGGGCATTCTGTTTTTCGGTCTGTGCATCCGTTCGTTCGTTCGTCCGTCCGTCCGTCCGTCCGTCCGTCCGTGCGTCCATCTGTCCCGATTCAGGTTAAAGTTTTTGGTCAAGGTAGTTTTTGATGAAGTTGAAGTCCAATCAACTTTAAACGTAGTACACATGTTTCCTATGAAATCTTTCTAATTTTAACGCCAAGTTAGAGTTTTGACCCCAATTTCACGGTCCACTGAACATAGAAAATTATACTGGGAGTCGGGCATCCGTGTTCTATGGACACATTCTTGTTTACATTCATTTTCAGATATACTGATGATGTCCTTGTCACTCAATGTTCCTCAACTTTGTACTTTATTTGGCCTATTGGAAAAATCGTTCACTTCCCATTTCTGAGCATTTACCATACTCTTTGTCCCATCGTATGGCGTAAACATATCGTGATTGATTTGTAACGCTCATGCGTGTTCAAACTATATATAACTTCATTTGCAGATGCGTGCTCCTGACATAAAAACTGCTCAAACAGAGTTATGAGGAAGAAAGAGTTAATTCGATACTATAGAAGTATAACGGTCACCATCACGAATTAGTTTACCGATATGTCTGTGTCTAAACTCACTAGCGACATAATGTTGCAGTCCTAAATGTTTAGATACCAGAAAAGTAATCTTATCTATTATTTTAACCGAATGTGGCCTATTGTTGATTTTGATATTTTACTGAGTGTGGATTCGCTAGTCGGGTAATCATAAAATAAGTATAAGAAAAAAGTAAAATCACAAAAATACCGAACTCCGAGGAAAATTCAAAACGGAAAGTCCCTAATCAAATGGCAAAATCGAAAGCTCAAACACATAAAACGAATAGATAACAACCGTCATATTCCTGACTTGGTACAGGCATTTTCTTATGTAAAAAATGGTGGATTAAACCTGGGTTTATAGCTAGCTAAACCTCTCACTTGTATGACAGTCGCATAAAATTCCATTCAATTGACAACGATGTGTGAACAAAACAAACAGACATAATAGGAAAAAATGTCAAATTCTTAATCACTATAAAACAAACAAAGGTGTAACAAAGAAACACAAAAAGGCATATAGACAAAGCATATAAGCAAAAATGAAAGACAAGAATACAAAAATTTACCATAGCACAATAACACAATGACGGGATGTACCGAGTCACGTCAAATGGATATCACCACAAATAGACTAGACAGTAAACGTAATATACAAAAAGACAAATACAAGCGTACTAAAACACGTTATTAAGATAATAAACAACGTCAGTACCCAGAATCTATACTTCAAGACCATCGTGTATTATTTGTGATTTTGGTCCGGTATATTTATCAACAAGGTATTGGTACCTTCCGATGAATTTGTTTAGAAAAAAGGACGAGACGTTCTTAACATTCCCCTGGTTCATCAACTTTCTGCTCAGACACTGGTGATTTTTTACAAGGTCTGAGTAGCAGCTGGAAGCTCTTGAATACCAAAAAAAATTGGGAAATGTATATCCCATATCGCGTGAAGTTGGTATATTACTACTAAGGTGGGGGAAATTGATAATTTTAAAATTAGAATCGTCTGGTTTGTCATAAATTCTGGTACTGAGATGACCGTGTATGTCAAATTCGAGGTATAAGTCTAAATATGAGGCGGAGGTTTCTTTAATTTCTAGTTCTGGGGGATATATTGATGGAACCTAATCAGAAAAGTTTGGATTGTTAATGGAAAGAACATCATCAATACATCTAAATGTGAAATTAAATGACCTGGCTTCTTTGATCTTCTTGTTTTTGACAAGTGTCTGAAAGAACTCTGACTCATATGAAAATAGAAAAAGGCCTTCAAGAACGAGCAAAACCCATACCGCATAATAAGTCATAATAGACACCGACATCACAAATGTTAAATAATTCAAACGAATAGAACTAACACCTGATTCAAGGACAACACAACAAACGAAAAACAAATATGACAGCAACAAACGACAACCACTGAATTACAGTCTCCTGACTTTGTAAAGGCACATGCAGAATGTGGAGGCTAAACAAGTTTGCCTGCACAAAACCCTCACCTAACCTACAAGTATAACAGGAGACGCTTATCTTATCAATGCATACTGTCAAATTTAGAGTTCATGTGATGACCTTAATTTTTTTGTTAACCTTTGATTTGTCTTCTTAATTGACTGTTGACTGTATTTACCGATGTTCAAATATCATTTATTCATTTCTAATATACAAATAAAATGCTAACTGATTTTAAATACAGTATACTGACAAATCAAGAACAAGTGGCTGTATAATAGATGAAATTAAATGGAAACTAATGCTTCATAATGAACATCAAAAGAAAATCTGGCCACTTCTACATACTCGAACACATAGAACAAGAACATTAGCGATACCAATTTTTCTGCATCATTAAATGCTCGTTTCGACAGTTAGTTCTCATTATTAGTGATGACCGAGGCCTTAATATTTGATAGAATGTTTTAAAGGCTAATAAATTCAAAAACAAGGACTCAAAATCCCCAATGAGTTTCAATAGAGCTTTCGTATAGACAAAATTGATGGAAAAATAATCTACACATTAGATTTGAATAATATAATCTGAAGCAATTCCCACAAAGAGTGCAAGTAAAAAAACGTATTTTTCTATCATCATATCAGTGCAGAACAACAGTGCTGTGATGTTGGAGATGTCAAAAAATTGAAAATACATAGAAAAGAACCGCCAGATTTATAAAACATAATTGTAAATCAGACATACAGGCCTCGTTTCAAAACGTATCATAGATTGAAAAAGAGGGACGAAAGATACCAAAAGGGAGAGTCAAACTCA